TTAGTGCTCCTCGTGATAGTCTTGATCCTCCACTGTCCTCCTCAAGGTGACTCAGAGCGAGCGTGCTAACTCAGCCTCTGCGCTGCCTCACCTGGGTATGAATGGCCTATTGTAAACTAAATGCCAGGCTGGCAGCTGTTGAAATAGAAATGTTCCTGTCGTCAAAGCTGACATTTCCCTCTGCCAAACCATTTTGTTTCCCTTTTTTTCCTCCCGCTCGTCTCCTCCCCCCGCTACCCTTCCCTCGGGGCAGAGGAACAAAGAGCCCTGTTCTGTCCCTGTCCTGTTTTACCGCTCCCCTGTTTGGGCCTAATGCCAGCCTCTGTGCTAATGCATGCTTTTAGGCTGCCATGTTTACATTAGCTTAGCGCTGAAGTGTGGAGGTGCTTCTGCAGGCGGCAGACAGGTGTACTGGACAGCGTCCAGCACGGTGGGCTGTTTTGGTCACTCTAAGCATTGCGGCGGGAAACAAAGACCTTAATATGGCTTATTGTAGCTCTACACTCTTAAAAAAGATCTTCAAGCGTTCTTTAGTAAAGGGAATGGTTCTAGATAGAATCATGAGTGCTGTATAGAACCATTTGCATGCTTAAAACTTGAATTTGTGTATAGAAGAGTTCCAAAAAAGGTTCTGCTGCTCTATACAAGGTTAACATCATAACAGTAGTAGAACCCTTTTTGGTGCTATTTAGAACCATTTTCAAAAAGGTTCTATATACATTCTTAAAAAAACATGATTATTTAAGTGTTCTTTAGTAAAGAAAATGGTTCTATAATGTCCCATTTGCATGATTAAACGGTTCTGAGTCCTTCAGATTAATGGAGAACGTGCTGTAGACGGTTCTGTATAGGACCTTTTTGAAAAGGGTTCTGTATAGCACCAAAAAGGGTTCTTCTGTTGCTACAAGCTTGAGATCGTAACAATGGAAGAACCCATTTGGGTGCTATATAGAACCCTTTTCAAAAAGGTTCTACGCTTTTAAAAAAAGATGGTTCTTTGCATGATTATAGGGTTCTTCGCATCATGAAATAGTTCTTCAGATTAACGGAGAAAGTGCTGAACATGGGTCTATATAGTACCAAAAAAGGTTCTTCTATTGTTACGATGTCAAGCTTGTAACAGTAGAACAACCCTTTTTGGTGCTATATAGAACCATTTTCAAAAAGATGCAATGTAGAACCTATACATCGCATTCTCCATCAGTCTGAAGAACCCTTTAATCATGCAGAGGGTTCTTTAAACGTTCATGGTTTTATATAGAACCTTTTTCTTCACTAAAGAACCCTTGTAGAACCATCTTTTTAAAGAATGTATATAGAACCATCTACAGCACATTCTCCATCAATCTGAAGAACCATTTTAGCACGCAGTAGTTCTGTATAGAACTCATGGTTCTGAATATAACCATTCCCTTTACTAAAGAACCCTTAAAGAACCATCTTAGTACCGGTCTGATTTTTAGATATAACACTGTTAAAGATTTGGAATCAGTGTTTTTTTAATATAAAGCTGATTTTAATGCCTGATTCACTGTGAAGCTGATATTCTACAGACTCCAACTCATACGCAGCTGTTAAAATGGAGACGTTTGTGCTGATAAATGCGGCTGTAGATGATTTGAGAATTAACTTATAATAATATAATATAATATAATGAATCTCCAGAATGCCTCATATTCTAAAAAACAGTGCCCAGATCACTGATCACTGATAAAATAGCTATTCCTAGTAATTCTCTGTCAGGAAATTGCTAAAAATAGATAATTACAGTGTAGTATTAACAATTATAATACAAATAAAAATTAATTCAGATCATTCATTTGGCTATTTTTTTGCATGTCATAAATTCTTGTTACACAAAGTTATGAATAAACCCACAGTTTGTGCTTTTGTAGTCTAATTTATAAGATTTTAATCTACATTGTATATATTATTAATATGACAAATGATTCTAAACATTTCAACTGTAGTGTAAGTTATATTTTTTATATATTTTTAAACATTGTATGATGAATGTACCAACAGAAATGGTCCACAATTACTTGAAATGGATGAAATAAGCAAAGTTAATGTACACTGAACCTAAGAACGTCTGCGATTTCAGCGATATGGGGTTTTATTACCACAGCAGCAGTACATAGTGTAGATTAATAGCTGTATATGTGAATCCAAACGAATCCATTTGGCCTGCTGATTGGCCATTTAGTGTCCAACCTACCAGTGACTCCAGGATGATATGAGCTTTATTACTTTATTAAACTCTATATAGTGTTATATATATATATAGTATTATAAACAGCGTATTTTAATATAGTTTTGTCTTTGAAAGCTGCGCTCACTGTGCAGATATATTTACAGGAATAGCAAAGTCTGAAAAAACTCTAGTAAATGAAAATATTCTGCTTTAGGGAAACAAAGTATGTATTATTTGTGTCTTTGGTTACAGTTTGGGTCACTGTTGGTCAGTCTTAGGTCAGTCATATAGAGTTATAATTAAGTTAGGATCAGATTTTCCAGACAGTAATTTTCAGATTCCCACTTGTTCCTCCAGTACAGTACAGAGTGTGTGTGTGTGTGTGAAATGTGTGTGTGTGTGTGTGCAAGTGTGTGTGAGTGTGTGTGTGAAATGTGTGAGGTGTGTGTGTGTGTGTGTGTGTTGTGTGTGTGTGTGTGTGTGTGAAATGTGTGTGAGTGTGTGTGTGTGAAATGTGTGTGAGTGTGTGCAAGGTGTGTGTGTGTGTGAAATGTGTGTGTGTGTGTGTGTGTGTGAGTGTGCGTGTGTGAGCGAGTGTGTGTGTGAAATGTGTGTGTGTGTGTGTGTGAGTGTGTGTGTGTGAAATGTGTGTGTGTGTGTGAAATGTGTGTGTGTGTGGGGTGTGTGTGTGTGTGTGTGTGTGTGTGTGTGTGAGTGTGTGTGTGTGAAATGTGTGTGTGTGTGTGTGTGTGAAATGTGTGTGTGTGTGTGGTGTGAAATGTGTGTGAGTGTGTTTCCTCTAACAGATGTTGTGCGTCCGCGCATTAGCGCCCGCTCGCACGTTGCAGCTCTACCTGCTGGGGCCTGCAGGTGCTGCAGTGGCGTAATTACCCGGTGTTGTGCCATCCAGCTGATGTGCTAATTACCCAAACGCCTTGTTTTCCCCACAAACAAGGGCTTAGCGAGCGCGCTGGAATGAGCGGAGCAAGAAACGGAGCAAATGCTTCCGATAAGCGCTAACCGGAGCTGTTCCGCCTCTCCTTCAGGGAATCATAATGCTCCTATAAAAGCAGCAAAACCCCAAAACCCCGCTCTGCAGGAGAGCCTCGGCCACCTCCACCTCACAGTCCTGACCGCCGCTTACTGGACGGCCACGCTGCAGGGAGTTATATCCTCTCCAGTGAAATATCTTCAGTCTGGTCGATGTGTCTGATGTGTCTCGGTGGTTGTAGGAATATTAAGATTATTTTAGCTGTTTTTAGACATTTTGTTTTACTTGTTTTTGATCATAATATGAAGTAAAGTTATGTCACTATATGGGAGGTCAGTTTGTTTGTTCTGGAATTATCTGCCGATGTAATGAGATACTTTTACTTGATAAAATGACCTAAAACGAGTAAAAATGTCTAAAAATAATGTATTAATCTTATAATAAGCTGGAGAAATCTTAGGTATATTGATGAGATTTAAGATCATTTAACTTGACAAGATGCCATTTTTTGCAGTGTAATGTCCACTGATGTCCACCTTATTTATTGATTGATTGGTTAATTGATTTGGCAGAAATGCTAATAAATCCTTATAAATATATTTGACCAATTTCTATCTATCTATCTATCTATCTATCTATCTATCTGTCTGTCTGTCTGTCTGTCTATCTATATCTGTCTGTCTGTCTATTTATCTATCTATCTGTCTGTCTGTCTATCTGTCTGTCTATCTATATCTGTCTCTCTGTATATTTGTCTGTCTATCTGTCTGTCTGTCCGTCTGTCTCTGTCTGTCTGTCTGTCTATCTGTCTGTATCTATCTTGTTGTCTATTTGTCTGTCTATCTGTCCATCTGTCTGTTTATCTATCTGTCTGTCTATCTATCTGTCTATCTGTCTGTCTGTCTATCTGTCTGTCTATCTATCGGTCTGTCTGTCTGTCTATCTCTCTATCTATCTGTCTGTCTGTCTGTCTATTTATCTATCTATCTGTCTGTCTGTCTATCTATATCTATCTGTCTGTATATTTGTCTGTCTATCTATCTGTCTGTCTGTCCGTCTGTCTCTGTCTGTCTGTCTATCCATCTGTCTATATCTATCTCGTTGTCTATTTGTCTGTCTCTCTGTCCATCTGTCTGTCTATCTATCTGTCTGTCTATCTATCTGTCTGTCTAACTGTCTGTCTAGCTGTCTGTCTATCTATCTGTCTGTCTGTCTAACTGTCTGTCTGTCTGTCTGTCTATCTATCTGTCTATCTATTCTGAAAGTGAATTACAGCTGAACCGCTCATATCCAAATTTGGTCATTTAGTTCTTCTCATGTCCACTAATGTCCACCGTGTACACGTTTATTTGTTTGTTTGTTACATTTAACTCAGTAGTGCACACATTTATTCATGTCCATGGTGTGTTTGTTTGTGTGTTTATTATTTTTGTTGAAGTTTGGATAACTGATATTTCTTTTCATGATCAATATTTAATTATTAATTAATTTGTTATTTTTTAAGGCCAGAAATGATGGAGGATACGTTATATTTGGTTAATTGGTGCACTTATATATTTATTTACTTATTTATTTCTACATTTTGCTTAGTGGAGTCCACATTCTTCTCATGTTTGTTTGTTTGTTTGTTTGTATTATTAGATTATTGGTTATTTGTTGTGCACATTTGGCTGCCCGGCTCCTCTTAGTCCACCACGTTCACAGAAACGCTGCTATTAACTCACCGATCAGGCTGTGGAGGGCGACTGTAATCAGGGCTAGAAGCGTGCTAGCATAAAATTATTTCTAACCATGACCTCACTTCCTCTTTTACAGGAAAAGGGCGTCTCCCTTGCCTAAAGATGAACAGCTGGGTGGGGTAAAGGACTCTCTGCTGGCCAACTCCTCCGATCCTGTAGAAATGAGGAGAATCAACTACCAGACGGCAGGTAACGCAGCACCTGTACAGCACACTCACCCCCATCATTCCGACATAGTACGCCTGTATTCGACACACTAAATCATTATTTAGACAATATGTCATTGTTTTGAGATGCTAAATTAAAATTTTGACAGGACAAGTCAATATTTTGATGTAGTAAGTCATTATTTCTAAATGTTAAATCAAAAATTTGAGAGAATAATTCATTATTTTATTAAGATTAAGTGACTCTTATTAGTCCCCCAACGGGGAAATTTCACCTCCACATTTTAACCCATCCGTGCAGTGAAACACCACGTACACACTAGTGAACACACACACTAGGGGCAGTGAGCACACTTCCCCGGAGTGATGGGCACTTCAGTCACGTACTGTCAGCTCAGGGGATCAGACTGGCGACCTTCTAGTCACAGGGCTGGTTCCCTAACCTCCAGCCTACTTCCTTTTGAACCGGAAGAAATTATTTTGAGATACTAAGTCAAAATATTTAGAAAATAAGTAATTATTTCCACATAGTAAGTCATTATTTTGAGATACTAAATCAAACATTTGAGAAAAAGACTTTTTAAGACCCTTTTGGTTGAGAGTTGAGATACTAAGCCAGTTTATTTTTGTATAAGTAATTATTTTGACCTAGGAAGTCATGATTTCAAGATACTAAGTCAAAATTTGAGCGTCGTCAGAAACCTGTACCTGGTACAGGCGTTAATTGGTTTCTATATATTTTTGTTATTAGCTGCAGCCGAATATGAAACAGCTTGTGCAAACTCACACGGTGTTTTTTGTTCTGCCTCAAAGGCAGTTACGTTACTCTGTTTACACGGATTAAGAGAAGCTGTAGTTTTGTTGCTTTGTTCAGTCGGGCCTGCTCTCGTTCGCGGTCATCTCTGTTTGCTTTGGTGTCCAGACTAAAGCAGCCAGTTGAATAAATCAGCAGCTGGTTCAGAAAAGCCTCAACTCTCTCTCACCTCCCTCTTTAACATTCTCTCTCTCTCTCGCTCTCTCTCTCTGTCTCTGTCTCTCTGCTTGAATCACCGGCCGTGGCGGCCGAGGGCAGCGGAGCCCGTTTGGTCTTAATTGTGCCGAAGTTTCTTTCAGAAGGCGTTTTCCCGTCTGCTCTGAGGGCCGTAATGATCGCACAAAAGCTCCAACCCAACCTTAATTAGTGAATGGAAATCTCTTTTTAATCTTTCACTCCGACTTCCTTTTTCATTTTTTCTTTTTTTAGTTCTTCCTTCCACAGCAGATGCCAGTTAATTCTTTAATTAGTGAGGAAGAGAGAAAATCGAAAACTATATTTCTTTTGCTTGCTTTTTCGTCACCATAACTGAGTGAAAACATCAGCCTTCCTGTGCATTTTAAATAGCTAGTTGTGGACGTTTGGGTCCATATCCCACATTTTATGCTCTCTTATGAAATTTTGGTCATAATTCATTTTTACTCGACCTCTCTTCATCCCTTAGAATTAAACACACTCTGCCTTTAAGACTGATATATACATACTGCTATTAAGACGGATAAATAAATGAGCTCTGTTCTGATTGGCTGACCTTTATTCAGCTTCGTTTAAAAAGCAGTCAAGGCTGAAATACAATACTTATATCTTCAGCATGAGTGGGCGGGGCTAAACTGCTGTAGACATGATATATGTAAATGTTTTCATTTTTGTGACATCACAAAACAGTGAATTCAAAATTTTTACGGCTTAAACTCTTAAAGATGGTTCTTTGAGGGTTCTTTAGACATTGGTTCTATATAGAACCATTAATACTCAGAACCATTTGCATGCTTCGGTGGTTCTTTGGTGGTCGCATTATCACAGTATTTGATAATATCATTTATCACCCAAGGCTAGTTTCCCTGTATCAGGGGTCGGCAGCCTGCGGCTCCAGAGCTGCATGCGCTCTTTTACTGCCCTGTTGTGGCTCCACAGCAGAATTAGATTATTAGGTAAAAATAAAATAATCCTCCTTTACAGTAAAATAAAGCTCTGCTGATCGTTCAACACAGTTTAACAGTAAATGGTCTTAAACTCTGGAGTTAATGTAGAACTGCTGATTCACCCTTTAGCCCTGAAGATCAGCGCAGACTGCTGGTCACCATAGCAACGCAGACAACAGTCTCGCCCAGCTAGTAGCTAACGAAACGGCAAAGAGAGAGATTTAAGATGAACAGCGATAATTTGGAGACGAATGGACTGATTTGCGTTTATAATCACTCCAGCTGGTTTCCTGAAACGTTTAATCCGCGATGATAAAACTTTCAAACACTAAAAAGTCGCAAGGCTGAAGTCGTTTCTCATTATCCAGCTTCTCGTTCAAATTCTCCCGTTCCACCTTAAATAGTGCAGCAGTTACATTCTGGCACATCAGGCACCATTTAAGGTGGAACGGGAGAATTGAGAATGAGAAGCAACTTCAGCCTAATAAAAAGTCAAACGTTGGGGGGACATTTTATAATAAATTGTTCCACTTTTGGAAAAGTTTCCTGCCGGAGATGCGAGAAAAGCAGCTGTAGCTGAGCCAAACTTAAAGCAGAGCATAGTTAGTCTGTTTTTGTTTATATTATATATATTTATATTATATATATTTTTTAGCCTGTACTAGTACATCAGCACATGCTGAGACATATTTACAGCCAAGATGGTAAAATGGACATAAAATGTTGTGGTTTGATTTTTTGTTGAAAGGACAAAATAGCTCTTCTTAACGTTTGGGTTACGACCCCTGACCTGTAATGGACCATAAGGAGACCGTGTGATTTGAAACTTGAGCAGTGTTTACATACTACACTTTTACTTGGTGTATTTTTGTTATATGGGCCCTTTAAAGCCAGAGCCACTCTTTATTGTGCTCTGTGCTAAAAGGACTCTCTGCGTCACCAAAAGCTTCTTCCACCAGTTTCTTTACAATCCCTGTCAGTTAATTAGCGCGCCTGCTTTTTGATTCTCAAGGTGAGCGTGAAGCAGAACAACGGCACTGAGGGAAAATGTCAGCCCCCTCCCTCTCTCTCTCTCTCTCTCTCTCTCTCTCTCTCTCTCTGTCTCTCTCCCTCTCTCTCTCCTCTCTCTCTCTCTCTCTCTCTCTGTCACTAATAGAGTAATATTCTAGCCAGGTTATTATGGATCCCACTCTCAGCCGCTCTCAGGCTGGAGAGCACATAATTACTGCAGGCGAAACAGGTGCAGGCGCTTTTATCCTGGATTCACATATTACTTCTCATCCACCTCTGACGCTTACTGTGTGTTGATGAAGCTGTAAGTTAAACCTGGGTGATAACGTGATAAGAGGAATTATCAAGATCAAATATTTGTCCGATACTGATCATGGTATTTGCGATAAAATGATGATTTTCTTACCAATATTGCAGTTTTTTCTATAAATTCTAGGCTGTTTTTTTCCACCACGAAGATGAGCGCTTCCATTTTTTAAGACAGCATTGAATGATGTAGCACTAAAACTGCAGCTCTTTCCATGTGAAAATTCTTTCAAATTGCAATTTCAGCCCTGTTAACACACAAAGGCATTGACTTTGAACAGCAGCTGCTCCGGTACTCTACGCGGCACAGCGGCACGAAGATTAGCTGTTCACTCCTGACAGTACAAACCAGCAGGACGGCATATTGTTTTATATATCGTATAAAATGATCATTTTCAAACATGTATATTTGAAGTTTAAATATAGCTGGGTAGTTTTAATCACTTAAAATGTAAGCATTCTGTAAAATTTCTGTAAACATTTCGTGATGAATGGGCCAACAGAAATGGACGGAAACTTTGAAGAGAGTCTCTTTAAATTATACAAAATCTTTAATAATACAAAATCTTCTCCTGTAATGTTAGCCTATTATTAAATAATTATTATTTAAAATATTATTAAAATGTATATATGATGGTAAGATTTTTGGTCAACACCCCTGGTCAAATTACGTTTTTGACTTTGAGTAACAATTTTAGTGCACAAATAATATTGATTTGCTATTAATCTAATGTTAATATTAATGTCTAGTTTAGCACACTGGGGGAATATATATATATATAAATGCTCTAATGTTAGCACAAGCCAAATGTAATATTTGTTTTTCTCCCAGTATGTTAAATTGAGCAAATAAGCAGTATTTGTGCATTAAAATGTGTAGTAGTGTGTCTCTGTAGAGATGTGTTAATTTATTTACACTTACAAAATCAACAAAAACACCCCCGGGGTGCCAAAACTTTTGCAAATGACAGGACATGGCTTTTTTGATACAGGGAACAAACTTAAATATGACCTATTTCTGCTGATTCTACTGTACTATTTCTTACGACTGGGCAGTATGACGATATACGTCATTATCGTGGTTAATGATGTCACAGTACAGAACGTTACGCTTGTCTGAACATATCATGTACATCGTCAGTGCTTGTAGACACTGACCAACTGCATGTTTCATTATGAAGAGAGCAAATATTGAATAAGATATTATTGAATTAATATTGAATTTTTTAAAATATAGCTCTATTGGCTCCTTTTTCTCAGTTCCAACTGATCAGATGTCTTAAAAAACGTATATATCGTTACATATCGTGTATCATGATATTTCACTTCGTGAAGTATCGCAATAATAGATTTTTGCCATATCGTCCACCTCTACTTCTATTTATATGCTAAATTTGACATATTTGACTAACAAAAAAGGGTAAAATGTGCAGAAGTTTAGGCGCACGCCACATTGTTTGTCCCACAGTGTTAAATTCAGCGAACAAAAACATTTGCAGAACTTATTTTCATCAACAAAAGCCCAAAGTGCAGCACAGAACACGTCTGCGTAGAGGCTGTTGTGGTCACGCTACACGTCTCAGTGTAGTTTGGATGGGCTGCTCGGTAATCGTCTCCTGTATGTACTGAGCGCTAAAGCGATGTCCGTCTAATACACCACAGGTGCGAACACATCCTCTCCTCATCCCCTCTGTTTCCTGCCTGGACTCCTCTGTGCTTTTTCCTTGATTTGGTGATCAGTAGTCCTTG